CATCTGTTTTAAAGTTTCTGTCTTGTAGCTCCAAGCAGGAATAGGCATTCTGCAGAACCATCACCCAGGAACCTCCCCTCACCAGCACACTGGGAATGACCTTTGTCTTTTCCTGTGTTAAGTGCTCTGTTTTCTGATTTTATGTTTTACTTTTTGTTGTTGTTGTTGTTTACTCTGATACGCAGGGGAGGTGACCTGGTTAGAGTTCCAAGAGGAAGCATGTAGCTTGATACTAAAGAGGAAATTGAAGAGTTTACAGAAAGGGCTTTTTTTTTTTTTTAAGATCTTATTATTTATTTGACAGAGAGAGGGAGAGAGCACATGCAGGGAGAGAGGGCAGAGCCAGAGGGAGCTGAGCAGGGAGCCTGATGTGGGGCTGGATCCCAGGACCCTAGGATCATGACCTGAGCCTAAGGCAGATGCTTAACCATCTGAACCACCCAGGGGCCCCAGGATTTTTTCTTTTTTTAAGTAGTCTCCATGCCCAGTATGGAGCCCAATGCAGGGCTTGAATTCATGGCTCTGAGACCAAGACCTAAGCTGAAATCAAGAGTCAGATACTTAACTGACAGAGCCACTCAGGTGCCCCTAAAGAAAGGACCATTTTAAAAAGTATGGGCAAGGTTAAAAACACCAGCAAACAGCATGATGTACATTGGGGCTAGCAACAGCAAAAAAGCTGTTATCCCCAAAGCCTGAAAGGGTGAGAGGAGAGGGTATTCCCAGAACAGCCTCGGCTGTAGGAAAACGCCACACTCACAGGACTCTAGCTGTCATTTAGGGATGTGATGTTTCTGCCAGCAGGGAGGGAGCAGAGAAAATAGCTCTACCTCTCCCCACCTCTGCCTCTGACTTCCCAGTCATGCCTCCCATTGGCTGAAGCCAAATCAGAAGCCAGCAAGAGTCCAGTGGATGTATTACCCAGAGGTTGCCTCTGGGGGCACAGAGCTTCCAGGAGAGTGGAATGGAAGTAGAGGGGCAACAGAGCACAGCCAGCACAGGAGGTAAAAGTTTGAAATCTAGTGTATCTAAAACTGTCTCTACTCATCACACTGTCTCTAGAGAAATGCTGTGGCTCGTGTGGAATTCTGGGTTGGTGTCTCTTGTTTTCCTCAGAATTTTAAAGGCAATGTTCCATTGTCTCCTGGCTTCCAGAGTGGCTGTTGAGAACTCTGTGCTATTCTGATTCCTGATACTTTTCATGTGACTTGTTTTTGCCTTCCTGGAAACTTAAGATCTTGTCTTTTCCCCAGCATTCTCCAATGTGGTGAGGGGTGAGTTTCTCTCATTATACAACAGGGTCCCCAGAGTAGGCCCAGATCAGGTACACTTCCTCAGTCCCTTGAAGGCCCTGAAAAGGCCAGAAATATAGATGTAGGTGCCCACTCTCCTGCATCAGTACATAGCTGCAATGTAACTGCTCATGTGTGATGTCTGGTCATTATTAGGCACCTGTGGACAATACAGCAAGATTGCCATGGTAGGGAGTGAGGCTGGCATTCGGGCACTACTATAGACAACTCTGCCTCCTCCCTCTCCCAGAATCTGTGCTGGTTGAGGGTAATGGGCGATAATATTGTAAAACTAAGGGTGAGGAGGGAAGAGGGAGATATTTGGTAGGAGTAGTAGGAGTAGGGGGCACAAACTCTTTTGAAGAAAGTGATAGGTTGGTATGGTCTGAAGTCTGTTCCCATCAGGCTCCTCTGGTCCCTGGTGTAGGGCCTGAGGCCCTAGATTAGAGGGAGAGGTTCAAAAGCCAGCCAAGCTGTCTTTAACAAAGACTGTGAGATGGCACACAAGTCATTTAGGACCCAAATGACAATGTGTGACACAGAGTTGGAGAGAGGCCATTCAATCCTTGGCAAGGGATTACCTGGAATCCGGAAGAGTCCTGGTGTTATGAACATTAAGAAATAGCACTGTTGACATAGACACCAGCTTTCTCATAGTGGGCTCCATCAGCAATGGAAAATTAAGGCTCTTCCAAGAGTGTCAGGCTATGGACATTGACAGCCTATGCACTAGGAAGTGGGCTTTCACCAGACATGAAATCATTTGCTATATTGATCTTGGACTTCCAGTCTCTAGAATTGTGAGAAATATATTCTGTTGCTTATAACCCACCGAGTCTATCGTTATGGCATTCTGAACTAAGAAAAACCACCATTTTGAATGTTGATGGTTGCCATGACAGAGGGAAAGAGAATCAGGGGAGTCTCAAAGTAGCAAATAAGTGATTTGGGTGTGAAGCGACACATGTCCTTTCTGCTTAAACTCATTGACCACATAAGAGGGCCAAGAAATAAAATCCTACCATGTGACCAGAAGGCAGAAAGTCAGTAATATTTACTGAAGAGAATTAATAGCCTATCACTCACTTTGCAGCAAGAGCTGTTCTAAATATATTACAGGCATTAACTCAGTTAAGCCTCATAACAATTCTATGAAATAGGTCCCATTTATATCATCATCATCCCCTTTTATAGATGAAATAACTGAGGTACAGAGAGGTTAAGTAACTTGATCAAAGTCACACAGACAAAAAAGGTGAAGCTGAATGAATATTTAAACCCAGTCATTCTGGTCCTGTAACAGGACTATGGAGTCTGTCACTAGATGGGAAAATTTGAGAGGCACAGTCAGAGGTGATGGAGAGTCACTAAAGGATTTTTAAACAGGAAGGTATGATTTAATCAGATTTGCTACTGAGAAAGCTCTCTCCAGAGAGTAGGGTGAAAAATCGAATTGAACTAGGGTTAAACTAAGGCAGGAAGTCTATTTGCATAGTGAAGGGATGGAGAGGAGGAGGATTAAACTAAGGCACATTTACTACAATTAACTGAGTAATCTTGAGCCTCTATTCCATCAGCTTGAGCCTCCGTTTCATCATTTCTTGAAAGATGATTACGGTAATACCTATCTTAGTGGGTTTTTCTGAGGATTATAAATATAACATAAGCAAAACCTGACAGTTCTATGGCTCTGGAATTACAGACATCTGAGTTAAAAATCCCAGCTTTACTACTCACTAGATCATTAGTTTAAGTTTCAGTTTGTTCATTTATAAAACACGTGTTTAAGTCAGAAACGTTAAATAAGTTAAAGTAAGAAAAATGATTACAAACTGGTTGCAGGTTGAGATTAGCTCAAGAGAAATGCAGAATTCCTTCTAGAAAAATAACCGAGATTTTGTTTAGGAAAAATAGCTTAATGAACTTATGTGTTTACGAAAGTCAAGTCTCTGAGGCATGACAAGAAGGGAAGAGATTTAGACCAGAGAATTAAATAATTTTGATTAATAAAGTAATAGAAAATTTTGGTTTTCCCCTGGTGTGATGAAAGTTTTGAGGGAAACCTGGGCTTGGGAAAAAGTAAAGATGGAGGGGAAGGTTTCACTGGAGAGAACTATGAGCATCTGGTCTTAATCAGTTTCCCTGATCCATTCTTCCCCTGGCAGCCAGAGTAAGCTTTTTAAAACCATTAATTAGATTATGTTGTTCCCTTTCCCCTAGCCCAGTGCCTGAGACTTAGGAGTTTCTCAGTAACAATTTGTTGAGTGAATTAATGAATGAAAACATTTGCCAGGGAGCAGGTAAATCCCCAAAGAAAAGGACTTTTTTTTTTTTTTTTAAGATTTATTTATTTTAGAGAAAGAGAGTGAGAGGGGGTGAATGAGGGCAAGGGCAGAAAAAGAAACATCAGGCAGACTCCCTGCTGAGCACAGAGCCCCATGTTGGGCTGATCTCAGGACTCTTGAGATCATGACCTGAGCTGAAATCAAGAGTTAGCTACTTAAGCAACTGAGCCACCCAGGTGCCCCAAGAAAAGGACTTCTGTGGAGGAGTTCTGTGTAGTGAGGGTGGTTTGGGGATGTTGATATTTTTTAGTTTTATTTTTTTTAAAGATTTATTCATTTATTTAGGAGAGAGAGAGTGCACAAGCAGGGGGAGCAGAAGGCAGAGGGGAAGCAGTTTCCCCACTGAGCAAGGAGTCCCATGCCAGACTCGATCCCGGAATCCTGGGATCATGACCTAAACGAAGGCAGCCACTTAACTGACTGAGCCAGCCAGGGGTGCCTGAACACTGATGTTAGTCAATTAAGTAGTTCTCTATTGTGTGGTGGTTTTTTTTTTTTTTTTAAGATTTTATTTATTTATTTGGCAGACAGAGATCACAAGTAGGCAGAGAGGCAGGCAGAGAGAGAGGGGGAAGCAGGCTCCCCGCTGAGCAGGGAGCCCGATGTGGGGCTTGATACCAGGACCCCGAGATCATGACCTGAGCCAAAGGCAGAGGCTTAACCCACAGAGCCATCCAGGTGCCCCTCTATTGTGTGTTTTGCTGTAATCACCCTTCCTCTTCACCACAACCCTCCAAATAAACTTCAGTGAAAGTCTGCTGCACAAAACTGCACTGTTTGGGGAGGATTTAAGAAATGAAAGAAAGTATCCAGGCACCAGGTAAACAATGTCCAAAGACGGCAGGAAATCTAATGAACAGAGGAACCCAGAATTCAGTGGGAGCAGCAAGAGGTAACCAGAATCCTCTGAAAACTTGGAGAGGACGTGCTGTCCCCCTTATCCTGGATTAGGGGGTTTGGCCTTGCATTTGGCTGTTGAAAAAAAGAATAAACGGATGACTTTGGAGTAGCTGCAACCCTCAGGTTGCATAAGAACGATAAATATTTAACTCATAGAGACATTTTGAGGATTATATTGGGATAATTCTAATAAAGCGCTTAACACAGAGCCTGGCACCTAGTAAGAACTCAGCGAATGTTAATTGTTGTTTTCCTTCACTTTCCTCCACTCCATTCATTCTTTTCCAAGGACACGCAGGAGGCGTGCCCACTCCTCCCTCCGCCCACCCCAAGCTCCGCCCCTCACTTCTGCCCGGATTGGCTGCTGAGAGGCGGAACCGAGGAAAGAGCCCTGTGCGACGCGGTAGGGGCGGGGCGCATGCGCGGACTGGGCTGGGTGGAGGTGGAGAGGAAGAGCTGCCGGAAGTAGGCGGCCGAGGTGGTGGCTGAGCCGGCGGCAGCTGCCAGGGAAACCGAGGCGCGGGACGCACGGCCCGCAGACAGGCCGGCGGGGGGTGTCGTCCCTGCGCGCTCCGTTTGCCTGGGCTGAGGGTCTCTAGTCCGGCACCCTCCTCTCGACTCGGGCCTTTCCCTAAGCCCGCCAGGGGGCGCCGCACTGAGGGGCTGCAGAGTGGGGGGCGAGCGCGGCTGACGAGAGAAGGGGCGCGGGGCCGGGCCCGAGAGGAGGGGTTTCCCGCCCGGCTCCGGAGGTGCCCCTGGGCGGGGGACCGGGAGTCCTCACCTCCCGTCTGAGGCAGAGGTTCCTGGGGGCGGGCAGGGCGCATCGCCCTCTGCCCCCGCCGGCACCCTGGCCATGACGGGCAAGTCGGTGAAGGACGTGGATCGGTACCAGGCGGTCCTGGCCAACCTGCTGCTGGAGGAGGATAACAAGTTCTGCGCGGACTGCCAGTCCAAAGGTAGCGCATCCCTTCCGGCGGGCGAGGGGTCCAGCCTCCCGCCGCGTCTGGGAGGTGACCTGTGTGGGAAGGGGGTTTCTGGAGCTTAGGCCTCCCGAATCCTGGTAAATGGTAAGGCGTGCTCCTCTGACTGAGGAGGCTGCTGGGTGTTCTGCGGCGCCGGGATCGGTGTGGAGAGAGGCTGCGAGGGCGTGTGTGAGTGCTTGGCGGGAGGGGTGGGGGCGGGAGAGCGGTGGTGGTGGGGGTGGCAGTGGCGTGGTGTGTGTAGGTGAGAATGTCTGTATGTTAGGGCTCCGAATGAGTTCCGGGCGGATTGTCTTTCCCGAGGCAGCCCAGAGCTCACCGCCTTACATTTGCAAAACGGGGGGGGGGGGGGGGGGGTAGGCGGGGGGGGGGTCGCGGGAAGAGGCTGAGAGAGGGGGAGGAAGAGAAGGAGGGAGGGGGAGAAGGGAAGTGAGATGACGGCAGGAAAACCGCTTAAATAATTTTTTGAGGTGGTGATTGTTGCTGCCCGCTATCTGCTTAGCAGCTCCCTCTGTCATTTTACAGTCTTGCTGAGATCTGACAGAGTGCATAGGTGGCTTTCTTCTTCCTGGATGTGTGAAGTGGGAACCTGCCTTATGCAGTGACACAGTGCGGATTTCTAGACAGCCTAGCCCTGGCCGTGGAGTGCGTTGGAGGCCCTGTGTGTGTGTGTGTGTGTGTGTGTGTGCGCGCGCGCGCTTGTGCGGTGGCAGAAATTAGCAGATCGTGGCTGTAGTGCAGGATTCGTTTAATCAGTGGAGAGAAGGAAGCAGGGGATGCATCAAATTTGTTGTTTCCGTGGTCATTACCCTTCCAAAGGTGAAAAATGATCACTGTATATTGTTAGAACCATTTAGTCTTTGTTTGCTGTGTCCTCCAAGATGCAGTATTTGATCTGATTAAAAATCAGTAGTATAGGAAAGCTGGGTTATAAGCGAAAGCTTGGTTATTAGCACTCAAAATTTATAGACACAAACTTCTGTAAATATTTTGTCTCCTTATTTTCTTTCTGAATTCTTTGGAATGTAATTGGAGAAGTTGGGAAAATTCTTTTCCCTTTGGAGAGAAGGGGAGAGTTATATTTTGGGAGCTATTGTTAATTTGTTTATGTTCATAATGCAGTGGATTTGCCACAGTCGTTTGCCATGTACCATGTTGGGTGCATAGTATACACCAAAGATTCAAATGTATTTGTGTTTATCAATATTGGGAAAAGAAGTACATGTCTAATTGATGCCTTTGGGTAATTACCTTTTATTTTGGAAAAAAAAGATTATGTAAGGAGAACAGGGGAATGATACATTGGCTTAAACATCTAGTAGTATATTTTAATGTCCTCTGCCAATAAATAAATGGCATGTACTTTTAGGAAAGCATGTCTCCAGACTTCTTTCCTGCATTTTTGCCTTAGTGAGAAATTGCTTTAAAAAGTATTTTAGAATCCATTTATGTTGAGTAGGTTTAATTTCTTTCTTTTTTTTTTTTTAAAGATTTTATTTATTCATTTGACAGACAGAGATCACAAGTAGGCAGAGAGGCAGGCAGAGGGAGAGAGGAGAAAGCAGGCTCCCCGCTGAGCAGAGAGCCCGATGTGGGGCTCGATCCCAGGACCCTGGGATCATGACCTGAGCCAAAGGCAGAGGCTTTAATCCACTGAGCCACCCAGGCGCCCCAAGTAGGTTTAATTTCTTATAGTTGAGTCTTATTAAATCTCATCCTAGACTTTTTGGAAGATTTAGTTTAAAGTTTAGGAGTATATTTCCTGGCTTTACTCAAATTCCCTTTGACCTCAGTTGACAGATCATGAGTCACAGTGAAGCATCCCACCAGAGTGAACATTGCTACATTTGGGGAGTCAGATGCCATTTTGATGATTAGTACTACCCCCAACTCTCTGTTTCTCTTACCACTCATACTTACTCATAGTCCAGTGAAATATAGCATATGGAAGAAAGAGCTTGATTCATGACTTCTTCCCCCAAATTTTCCGTTGCTCTTTATCAATAGCATTAGTGGGGATCAGATAATGAAATATTAGTTAGTTCTTGATGAGAACTAGTAACTGTTGGGTTGTAAACTTTGTTAACCCCTATCAATGGTAGAATCCTGGTTCCTGAAACGATTTTTCAAAAATTAGTTTTACATTTTGGCTTGGTGGCTTCAGTGAATTGGCCATTGTATTAAACATGAAATGATAAGGTGTCAGTCATCTTTCAGTTCAGTTAAATAACATGTTGTTTAGGCCTCAGTTTATCCAGTTTGTATATTATCTAGCTCCTTCCACACTTTCAGCCCTTCTCACTAATTTTCCTCCTCCTTTTCCCTAATTTTGGTCGTCGCGATGATCACACAGACAACTACTGGATCATACAGAAGGAAAAGACACTCGTATCAGATTAAGTTACCTATTAGCTCTGGTAAAAAATACATGTAGTGGGAGAATGTATTTAAAAACTATTGGGTTTGGAAAATGAGATTTGGATCTGAGTTTATCCCTGTTTCATGTTGTTTCTTTGAAAATTAAGAGCTAATCATACAGGACTTGGTGAGTGATTGCTAATCTATTAATATTAAATCAGATGATAAGGCCCTGGACCACAGACTATATGAGCAGTACTTTTCTGATGTTCTAAAATAACCCTTTGACAGTGGCTCTTCTTTTAAAATCTTATACTTGTTTAAGGATCTTACTATATTTGAGTATGTAATGTGAACATCAAGAGTAGAGAACAAGCACATGTCTTTACATAGTATGCGTTTTGTTGATTCTGGGATTTTTAACTCTTTTGAGCGTAAGACACACCAGTTTCTGGGACCCCTAAGGCATTGAAATAACTCCTGTGTGGCAAAGAAAGCTGCTTAGATACTGCCTTGAAAAAGTGCTTTGATTTACTTTTAGGCCCAAAGATACGGTTTCCTCATCACTCAAAGACACTGTGACCTTTAGGGTAAATTTTTGAACTGACTTAAGTATGATAGAACAAAGGACAAACATACTAAAAATTCTGGATACGTCAAGTGGTAACTCTACCTAGTTTAGACTGGGTCCCATTTTTAGATAGACCCTGGTGAGGCTGTACTAGTTCAAGGCTTAATCATTAGCTCTGCGGTTGCATATTCTATCAGTGTGCCTGGAATAACTCCTAATCAGCCTCTTCAGAGACCGGTTTAAACTAGGCACTCTTATTTACCATGTAAGGATCTATCTTCCTGCTGACCCGAGTTCCCTGTGTCCACTACTGGGATATTACTTTCTCACTACCAAAGTTGGTAAAAAAAAAAAAAAAAAATTGAGAGCTTTTTAACAAGCAAAGAATTAAAATAGAAGAGATTTGATGGTCTTGTGGAATATTTACTTTGGTCTGTGAAACCCCACCTGGAATTCTGGAGCTTGGCAGAAGCTTTGTAATATTTTTTGTACTTTTCCCTTCTGCTGCATCCTATCTCTGAAATGTTTTACCTTGAATTACCAAACCATTGCCTCTGTTCCAGTTTCCATTATATACTCTAAGATTTAAATTTGCTTTTTGGAAAAGGTAGCACTTTCATGTGTTCAAAATATAAAAGGTCGGGGCACCTGGCTGTCTCAGTGGGTTAAGCCGCTGCCTTCGGCTCAGGTCATGATCTCAGGGTCCTGGGATCAAGCCCCATATCAGGCTGTCTGCTTGGCAGGGAGCCTGTGCTTCCCCCTCTCTCTCTGCCTGCCTATCTGCCTACTTGTGATCTCTGTCTGTCAGATGAATAATTAAAATCTTTGAAAAAAAATATAAAAGGTCCCGAGGTAAATATGTACAATGAAAAGTTGTGTTCTTACTCCTGATCCCTTAGCCACCATTTTCCCTTCCTAGAAGTAACCACTTTTGGTAATTTCTTAGGGGACTTTTAAGAAAGAATATATGTGCAGGCAAACAACTACATTTAAATATATTCTTTTGCAGTGCTTTTATGCAAGTCGTAGTGTATTATTCACAGTCCATGGCACCTTGCATTTTTCAATCAGCGGTATAATGTGGAAAGCATGAAAGTGCTCTCCCCATGTATGTTGAGCTTTCTTCATTCTTTCAAGGGATTTTCTAAGGCTCTATCTAGGTTATCTTGATTAAGTTGAAAGATATGCCGAAGTGATTTGGAAGCATCTGCTCTTGTTGAAGGCATCTTAGTGTCCTAGGCTTATCCATAGCTCATATGAACCCACCTTTGAGGTGGCAAAGAAGCAAAATAATGGAAGGGGCCGTCGACTTGATGTTGAAACATCCAGTTAAACTCCTTCACTCTGTTTATTTTAGCTTTGTGACCTTCAGCCCCGCACTGAACTTTCTCAGTTAAATTTTCCTCATTTGAAAAATGAAAACGCCTGGGAACTAAAGTGTTACACACATGTAAGCATTGCTTATTACCACCATTGCTGGTCTTATTTATTCTGTCTTGGTTTTTTTTGTTTCACTTTCTGACTCTATTCCCTTAAATACTCTGGTTACTGGAAGCCATGGTTAGAATGACTCAACCAATAATTCCCTAGTCTTTAAGCCAAAACCATCTCATACATATGGGGGTTCTGGCATTTTTGCAGATGGACTTCATAGTACCCTTGAGGATGGGCTCTGGATGCTTCCTCAGTCTTTAAACTTGTATGAAAGATTAGACCAGGGAATATTTGTGTAGAAATTTTCTACAGTAGTCTAAATTTTAACTCCAGTAAATTAATCTCTAGCTTTGCTTTATATTTGTTTTGTGTTGATAGATAGCTAAGTCATTGCTTGTTAAATAGTATTCCTTAGAACATGAACTTTCCTGTCAATTTTTAATTATTTTACCTCTATCTGTGGCACCTTTTGAGAGGTTAAATAAAAAATTCCATCAGATTTGGACAACAGAAGTTTTGTGTCCATCTCTAGTTGTTAAACACCCTTCTCCAGCGAAGATTAAATCGCTTTTCTGGGTTTTTACAGCTAATGCACCTTAACTTGAACAGTCAT